ACATACAAAATAAAATATAATTAAATATTTCAGTTTGAATGAGTTGTAGATAAAGATAAATTAGTTGTAAGATTGAGTTATGTAAGTGTATGATAAAGAAATATTTTTTAGTTAGTAATTTATATTGAATTGAGTTGTTGATATGGTCTAAACCTCTCATCTATCCATAATTATATAAAAAATATTTTTTTATTGATACCGTTAAATGATAAATTATAAAAAATCTCACTTATCGTATGCATAAAAATCTTTTATAATCACGCGATAGTCTCACCAGTTCAGTAAAACACCTGCTTTTACGCACCATAAGAGATAAGGTCATGCGGTGGTCATTCAGTGGCAACGGCGGTATGCGCGGCGGTAGCGGCAGAGGTAGCCGCTCGCTCAGAAGCATCCATAGGTCTATCAGGACTGGCGGAGGCGCCCCGCCGGAACCCTTCTCTCGGTCCGCCAGCTCCACCACCGATTCGAGAGAAGCTAAACAATTGGTTAAAAACCAATCTGCTGGATTAAACCTTTCATCGAATGACCCTTATAACAATAGCAATAAAAATGAGTCGCCGACTTTTTCGACGATGATCGATTTTCCGAGGTCCGGTGCATCTGCACCCGCCACACGGGGAGCTTGCGCCGATGATGACGTGGAGTGGGAGTGTTTGGATGTGGGCAATGGAGATGAAAGGGGTATTGCTTTTGATTGTGATTTTGTATTTGGCACTGTACCATCAAGAGATGAGGTGAATTATGCAATTTCTGCTCTTCAACAGTAAGTGTTATTTTTTCTTTTAAATTTAACTTTCAATTAGATTATGGTTATACAAATTCCAATTAATCTTTTGAAATAACTAGTCCATTCATATTTTGTTAGTATTCTACAAGTTGACCTATTAGTCCAAAAGAGTAGCTAGTTAGCTACAAGCCAAACTCGTTACAGCTCGAAATAGGGATTGTATGTATTTATAATAGTTTGACTTGTTAAGGTTCGAGTTGGACTTGTTTAGGTGCGAAAATAGGTAATTTTTAATAGTTCGGTTTCTCGAGTTCAGCTTGTTAAGGCTCGAGCCCGATTCTTTTATTACTTGGCTCGTTTACATCTCTACCTGCCTGTTACCTCTTAATAGGGTGTTATTTGATAAGAAAAGTACAAACTTCAAGTGCATCAGTGCATGTATGCAAACTCTATCAAGTATCTAATGTTTTGTGAGATAGCTCAGATTTTCTTTTATTTTTTCTTTTATTTTTTGTTAATTGTGCTAAATGTAATTAACCTATAAGTTATCTGAGAGGAAGATTTACTGTGAACAGATTAGTTGTTTTTTGTCTTTGCTCCGATTTTTTATAGTCAATGCCTGGTGATTTCTTGATTTTCCCACTTGAGTGTTTCGAGGTTCTTACCGACTTTTTTTGAACGGCTTGAGTGTAATTTTAATCTGAAGGGCTTTTCGACCTGTGTCCCCTGCATATATTGCAACCGAGAAACTCACTGTGGTAAAAAGTGAAGATCAAAGTACTGAGAAGTCTGAGAAGATAAATTCGTCATCCTCATCTGAGTTCGACTGGATTGAGCCTTCACCGACTCTCGGCAGTTCAAGAAAGTTGTGTCCTTATGGTCCGGAGAGGGTTTATGATGCCTTCCATTTGTTGCAAAGTGAACCTTCTGTGCAGGTGCCAAATTTCCCTCAATTTTGTTTCATTTTCGCTTCGATAAGATAAATTTTGACTGAACAAACAAATATGAAAAGTTCTTGTATCAAATCGCAGTTTAGTATATCCCGGGCTGTTTGTGTGTTGCTGGAAACTTAGTTACTATCAAGTATTTTTAGATTTTTTTTTTTCTTTTTCTTACTTGTCACAACTCACACCCTTTTATAGTTTTATTTGGTGGGTTTTTGAGCATTCTCAATTGAATTCCTTGATAATTTTACAGAGAATGGTGATAGCACTGTCATCTGATAGAACTGTTTGGGAAGCTGTATTGAACAACGAGGCTGTGAAGGAGGAGCTTAGAGGCTCAATAAGCCGAGGTTCGTTTTGTATTTTCAAGTACATGTATACCAAGTTTGAAAGTTAATTATTATTCCAAAATCTGATACCTGATCTCACATTTTGACCGGGCTTGATTAGTTAATGACGAAGGAGATAAAGCCGTGCACAAGGCCTCAGATGATGATAACAATCCGGCGAAGGGCTTGTTCCTTAATTGGTTTTTCTCGAACGCCAAAGAGAAAATAATGCAACTTATTGACATGATGGTGCAGCTTGCAAATATGGTGTTTCAGCCTGCAAACGAGGAGAAAAAAGGAGGCGCGATTGATCCAATGCAGGAGAAGCTGAAAACTTCTTTGCTTCTTTCAATTGCTGTCCTCCTAATCGTGGTCGTCAATCGAGCCAAGAGTGCGTGAGGTTATATTTAATTCGCTGACTTTACATGGAAGTATCCCCAGGTAGGAAGACTGAATGCATTTTTATTTTTATTTTTATTTTTTTTCAGTAAATAGAGACGTGTTTTTAGCATTGTTTATCTTTGGTCATGCAAATTTCATCTGAAACGTTTTAGTTTGGATTTTTCTTGGGATGGTGAACATTTTTTTCCGAGTTACTTGAAGTTCAAATTTAAATAAACACCTCGAAGCTCTAGGCTCACAACATTTGCAAGTTTGTAAGAGGTGAATAACAGTATAACACCCTACCAGTTGTGGGAAGGGATATGAGCCGTCAGATCAACACATATATAATCCTCCTATAATCGGATGATTACAGTTGATTTATTCATATATAAAAATAAGAAAAAAAAAAAAAGAACACAAAAGGAAAAACAAAAAACTGAAAATTCGATGCCAAAAAAGTAACCTAAGCATTTCCAGTTGTTCGAGTTAGCTACTTGTTCAAAAAATGTACAATCTGCAACTTGTTCAAAAAATGTACAATCTGCAATTGCACCGTCGGTCGGACCTTCACATATTTTCTACTGTTAAATGCCAACTTTCTGCCCTTTCCACAGTTTACATTCTGAAACTGTTGTTTGATTTTGTCCAAGGACACACCAAAACATTTGCAGTACAAATGGGAGTCAGTTACCTAATTATTTGCAGCAATCTCTCGAATAGAATTTGTTTGGTAGTCTATATAGGCTTTTTACCCAAGATCAATCACGTTATCCAGCAATGAATCAATATCAGGAGTTACCACGGCCCGCTTGCTCAGTTCCCCTAACTCACAACACTCGTGATTTGCGGTGTTGATGGTCATAACACTTTGAGCAAAACTACAGTCTGAACCAGGCGAAACCTGCAGAAGCCAGTGCATGGTAAATAATACTAGCCACATTTTGTTTTACATCGACTTAAAGTAGTAGACAAAGACATCAGAAGGAACTTGTAAGTAAGTCGTATGAATAACACACCATCATGTAAACACTAAAATACCAGAAAAAGGCATAAAAGAAAAAATATATATATATATATTAAAAGAACACCAATGAAACTATGGGACAAATCCAAAATACAACTCACTGTGTGAGTTATTGATTTCCTTTTTCGAAGTGTCTTTTTACTTTCATCCAACAGAAATATGAATCACTTTTACTGTTAACAAGACATGTTCACAATCTAATTTTTAAAATTAAGAGAAATCATTTACCTAATGTATATCCAAGACAAATCTCATAGTCACGAATCACCTTCATAAGTTAATAAGAAAACCACTACAACCATGGAAACTCCAACAATATTTAAGTAGTCAAGCAAACATCAAAACAGAACCAAGCATGCTTTCACGTCAGCTGTGGCTGGGCAAATTATTATTTTTATTCAGTTTACAATTCAGAAAAGATCATGAAATACTGTTCAAAACTGCAATTGACTACAAATTAGGATAGATTACTCATTGGGTCATAGATTGAGGGGAACTCCTTACATTTCAAACTTCACATATCTCAGTCCAATCAAAATGACACTTCGAATAATAGTAATAATCATGCTTTAAGTAAGCTGAACGAGCACTAATAGCACCTGCCTGGTAAAACCATGGTCTTTCACGCAATCATATAGCTCGTGTTACAAAATTTATCTTATGCATCCATAATGAGGCACTCGCTTTCAAGTAAACAGAAAGTGGAATTATAAAAGCATGAAGATGGGCAAAAAGGGGCTTACATCATACAAGACGTCTCCTAATTTCAACTTCACGGCCCCACTTTTGTACACCAGCATTTTCCCCATGAGACCCTCAGGCAACTCCTCCAACTTACAGCCTTTCTTAGAGGAATGCTCACGTTCTTGAGTTACAGAGCTCCCGGCTATTTCTTTGCCTTTCGAGCTCCTTGGTGGCCGGGAATTGTCTAAGGGAAGATTAGAAGGAAATTTGAAAAGAAGCATTCCCGGTGTATCATCTAGGTCCTGTTTATCATATTCAGTAGCAATTATGGTTAATAAAATCGACAATCAGTAAAAATACTCGTTGAAAAAATCTATATCGGTATCTCTGCTCTGGCAAACACACACACACACCCATACATAAATATAATAGCCAAGAAAAGTTCTACAGTTGAATAACAAAAAAACTAACCAGCAATCCAAGGTCAAAAGCAGAAGACACAGTATTTTCATCATATTCTGGAGCATCTTCAAATTCTGCCTTGTCAAGAATTTCTGGCAAAATTGAACAAAATAAAAAGTGAGTTTCAGATGATACTGTAAAATAGACAATACGAAAAAGAAAAGAAAAAGGAAAAGCTTCAGATGANTCCCATCAGGTGACTGGTATAGACAACATGGAGGTGGTGAGAAAAGAAAAGGAAAAATTTCAATATGTTTTACGCTATCCATGAAAAAGACTTTGATAATGTAAAATAGACAATACGAAAAAGAAAAGAAAAAAAGAAAAGCTTCAGATGACAATGAAAGAAACAAGTATGGAGACAGAAAAAAAAAGAAGGATAGTCCCATCCAGGTGACTGGTATAGACAACAAGGAAGTGAGAAAAGAAAAGGAAAAATCTCAATACGTTTTACGCTAACCATGAAAAAGACTTTCAGGTGAAAACTAATCTGACTTGATACTATCTTAGTTCTCACAAAGAATAAAAAGAATAAATTTTGCAGCAGCTGCAACAATGTTATCTCTCAACCAAAGACATATCTTGTTATATGTTCTCTAAAAGAAAACAACAGAAAGTTCTGTACTTCGAAGCTGTATGATCACGTTTTAGCAAATACCAGGATTTCCAGAATAAGGCTTCCTCCAAGGTAGGGTGGTAGGGTAGTAAGTATGATGGTAATCCTGCATAGACATTCAAAGCCTAATGGTTAGCTGAAAAAGTGACTAATTTTTCTTTCTTCTTTTTATTGTTCACATGTTTGGAACAGGACAAAACATTATTTACCCAAGGCTCTTTATATTCTCTTTTCGTCTTCACAGCTAGAGCACTATTAGAGAAATCCACATAATTTTCACTGAATCCTTGTCCTGAAGTTGATATAGACCTAACAAGCTTTTGCATGTCGTCAGGAGTCTCCTTTTTCGTCTTAGCTGCATCACTGGTACTGTCGAGAGTCTCTGGATCAGCTAAATCACTTTTGAGATATTGTTTCCCATATGTCCGTAAAATAGTCGATGGGGCATTAAGCGAAAACGTGACTTGGTCTGATGCTGTAGTTTTATCAAGTCCACAAATAAGCTTTGATGATATAAATCAAACACCATAAGGCGATCAACTAAGAAAAAGAGAAAAAAAAGATGAAAAACCAAATCAAAACAAGTCCGATAATCCAATATAAGTAAATCATGTTTTTCGGTTATTTTGTCAAAAATATCAAAACGAATGCACCAACTAGTAGTTGCAGTCGTTGTGAACTATTTATAGACAGTGAATTATATTTTACATTATGGGATGTGAAACAATTTATATGTGTCGGGGCATATTAAAAAGGGTCAAGTGCAGAAAAGGAATTACATTTGTTTTCTGCTTTCGCATTTCGCCTGGAGAGATTCTCCTACACATAGTAGGGAAGAAAGAAGAGCAGTAAGAATTTTGCTGTATGCTTAGACATGAATATACATATTGCATAATGCATGCTCCTGTTACTTGTAAGGGACAATCCTTTTCGAGTAACAGCTATATAAAGGGCTCAAGTTTAATAAAAACACACACACAGACACACACACACAGAAGGNNNNAGAGAGAGCAAAACTGCATCAATGAAAATCACTTTTCGGTTCTCCTTATAGTCATTATGATTCTTTGTGTCTGAAAATATGGAGGTAATTAACACATAATTACAGCAACAAACTTGCGGATTTTGCTCAAATTTCATGGTAGAAATTTGAAATACAGTTTTAAAAATCAACCACCATTTTATATGAAGTTTTCAACATCAAGATGTTACACAATTACAAGGAGATTGTTTTGAGAAAACACACTTAAGGAGTCAGCAAGTTTGACTAAATTTGATAAGTAGACACATAAATAACTAAGTCCTGAGAATTTTGAAGCATCAATTAAATGAAGGCAATACCTACTTATTTATTAGTCTAAAAAAGGACCTCATTAGCAATATTACCTTTAATAATTATATTTGGAGTGAAATAATTATTTAATAAAACAATTTGATTTCTGATTCATTTATTTCTCACAACTTTTGCTTTCAGGCATAGACCAATGTGTCATAAAACAACAAATAAGTAAAAAATAAATAAAATAATGCTACAACAACAGATAATGATAATTTATAATCTAAAGCTCACAGCACAGTAAAAGGGCGAGCCTATATTTAAGCAACAAATTCTCAAAACTCGTAAATTATTGTAAATCTACACAAGTACACACGAACATCAAATATCCATATATATGCAGAAAACGAGAGAGATTGAGAAAAATTGTTTACATTGATTCTACGAGAGAGACGCTGTCTAGCAGCTTCGTCATCGCCGTCGTCATCCTCTGCCACGCTGCAAAATTAGTTTTCGTCTCAGAAGCGAAAATCAAAGACGAACCGGAAAACAAAACGAAAATTTGAGTTTGAGTTTTGCGGAGGGCACATTTTCGCGGCTGGGGGCTTCGGCGTTCTGCGAGCGGGTGCTTTAGGAGCAAACTTGACCTGAACAACATCGATATATGAAATAGTTAAACAAAATGATTTGTAAAAATCACCTTGAGTATATGAAATTAGAGGAAATCCGGTTGAGCAGCTGAAAGTGAAAACGGATATGGAAAGACCTTTCGTGGAGCGGATGGCGGCGGATCTGGATCCATGAAACAGGCGAATAGCTTCCAAATCACCAAGGCCTGTTCTGCAGAAAACACAAATCGTGAACGATTGTAAAATTCGAAGGAATTTTTCTGCAGATTTGCAGATGAAGAAGATGAAAGAAAAAAAGAAATTGGAAAGAGGGAAGAATCGAACCCGGAACCTCAATAGTAAAATCTTACTGTGAAAGCCAGTGAACTACTAATAGAATTTATAAATTTTTGTATTTCTAACTGAATTAAATTCTACAGATTTTGTTAAAAAACTAGTAAATCTTCATTTATGAATTTTTTTAAACTATGTCATTTTAATTTAAGAGTACATATAGATTGAAAAATACAATTGTCCAACCGTTAGACATGTTTAATAGTAGGCTTACATAAGCTACAAAGATCAAGAATGTCTTTCCAAGCTTGTATGAGCGTGATAGAAAATAGATTTTATCCGATTTTGACTGGCTGAATTTTTTTATGCATTTTTAGCTCAAAATTTAACTCAACTTTAATCTAATTTAACTCTCCTACTTTTTTTTATCAATATTATTAAACAATATCAATCAATCATCCTCAAATACCACATAAGCCAAATTCACTGTTCATTCATTCACATATTATTAGCTATCAATTATTTTAAATTACACATCTCTTACTTTTTCATCAAATTCATTTTAATCATTATATTTTAAATATTTTTTAAATATAAACTCAAAACTCTACTCCATCAATTTTTTTAAAATTAACTAAATTTATCCAATAGGTTCAATTAAAACCAAACAATTTGTTTTGCATCACCCTAAATATTCGATTACCAAAATATTATTAACTGTGTCTTTGCGTCTATCAAATTTCTTATATAACTATTTTCAAATACTCACCAATTCTAACACTTTCTCCACTATGATGATTTTTTTTCTCGAAACGACAATTAAAATTAAAATAAACTTAAAAAAAGTACAATCGATAATCAACGAGTTACAATGATCATTTTAACTGTCAAGTGACAAAAAGAAACGATCCAAGGAAGAGTCAAATTACTAATTCAAACCCCCAAGAAACAACCCTACAAAAAAATTCCCAAACAAAGGAGACAAAATACTCCATAAAGTAGGCTAACTATTCATAAAAGAGACTAAAAAACCCACAAAGAGAAACTAAAAAGCCAAAAACAACAAAATGAAAAGGGAACAACAAACTAGCAAAACACTAAACTAACTATAATCTAGAGCCCTCCCCAGCTGCCAATAAGTTTCACCAATGACACCATTTGAGCCAACAAATTGAAGACGAACATACAAAGAAGAACACTTCCACAAACCAAAAATAGCAGATCCAGAAACTCCCGACTTCGAGATGGCAAGGACTAACCAGATTTGCCACCTTCGAACCCGATCTATCCTTTAAAGCGGCCAAACGCGAGATGACGACCGGACGAGAAAGTGCCGACATCACTACCCCCTCAACTGTGACAACCTAACCTTCGACCAAAGGGGCTCGATCAAAACTCACAAGCACGAAATGGGTGGCGTCGCTGGCGTCATCGCCGACAACTGCAAGGCCGAAGCGACAAGTTGTGGAGGCGGGGAGGCAAAAGACTTGATTCTTTGTTGCTGCTGTTAATTTTCTGCAATGGAGACAGGGCTCGGTTAAGATCTTGGTGGGGAGGTTAGGTGGATCGAGAGGAAGAAGATTGGGGAGGCAAGACTTTTTGGAGAGAGAACTATTGGGTAAAGTTACTGTCCACATGTGTAGAACGGAATATATGAATTCCGTACTTCATTTTTACATATGACCAACAAAGATATGATTAACAAAGATGAGATAGATGTGACGAATCAAGTTTTCTTATACATATTGGTACGTGTTCGTTATAAAACCATACAAGTATTTGAAATCGGCCAGCTCGCTTATCGGATTTGGATCATCTAGTTGAAGAGATGAAAATAAATAAAACTACAGTATAACTGAAAATACAAATGCTAGTTCTAAATTTTAACTAGTATTTCATCCTGTGCACAGAGGGAAATAAAATTTTATATATTATATTTACGTATATGATATTTAAAAATTTAATTAGATAAAATGTGTATTACATTTATAAATTTTTACTATAAATATATAATATAAATATAAATTATTTAACTTCCATATAAATCAGTTTTTTTTACTGTATAATTATAATACAAAATAGGAATATTAGTAAAAAAGAAATTTAATATTATATATTCAGAAAATTTAAAATCTTGTAAGTTGTTACAGAATAAAAAATTAATAATAATAAGATTTTACTTGTGTAACTGTCATTTGAATGGTAGTCATAAAGATTTTTGTTAAATGCTGAACATATTTTTATTAAATGAACACCTATTTTAATTAAATGAACTCATATTATTATTAATTGTGGCTGAATAAAATTTATTTAAGTTTGCCAGCAATTATATATATTAGAGATGTTAAATGGTCCTTGGCCCGACGGGCCGGCCCGTTTAGCCCGGAAAAAAAGAGGGTTAGGTCCTTTTATTAGTAGCCAGTTTAAATCAGGGCTTTCTAGGCCCGGACCGTTTAGCCCGAAGCCCGCTAGGGCTAGCCCGGAATCCGCTAGGGCTGGCCCGTTTAACTAGGGTTGAGCGGTGTAAATTTTTGCATTAAGTAAGTAATATGCTCTTAAATTCCTTGTATATTACAATTTTGATATTCCACTTCACATGTAAGTACGAGTTGTAATGGATTATTATAATTTTGAAATATAATTATTAACAATATTGTTATTGTACTTCATACCAAAATATTTAAGCCGATCAGAACGACTAATAAGAAATACATGAAACATAGTGATAGACGGTAAATACTAAATAGCCGTTGAAAATAATTTTTAACTAGCCGTTGTTATTTTTTTTATATTTTTTACTCTTTTTATTATTATTATTATTATTATTATTATTATTATAGCCATATCCCGCATAGCCCGTTTAGCCCGAAGCCCGCTAGGATTAGAGTTAGGTCCTTTTTTGGTAGCCCGTTTAAATCCGGGCTTTTTAGGCCCGGACTGTTTAACCCGAAGCCCGCTAAGGCTAGCCCGAAACCCCTAGGGCTAGCCTGTTTAACATCTCTATATATATAGATGCACTAAAAATTGTGTATGTCACTATTTCTTTTGCCTTATAAACAAAAATGTCCAATGTAGTAAATCAAATGTAAAGGATCCACTCCGATTTTACCAACAAATGTCAAATATAGAGAATGAAATGTAATGCATTGAGTCTAGTCTTACTTATGTGGCATTTAAAATAAACCCAAGTCTTGGATGACATGGATAAAATTATGTAAAATGAACAAAATCTACTCCAATGCAAAGAGACTAGGTCTCTACTTGGGTCTAAAATAGACTTTCTTAAGAGACCGAATCTCTTTTTCTAGGTGCCACATCAACAGGACCTAATCTACTTTTATTTGCATTGGAGAATACATTTTTTTAGACTGGTTCTATTTCTTAAGTAACATACTACTTTTATTTGCATTGGAGAATACATTTTTTTAGATTGGTTCGATTTCTTAAGTAACATACAATTTTTTGGAATTGAACCCAAAACATTGTGGATGGTCTAAAAGATCCAGTCCGATTGGAATGTATCTGGCTTACATGATTCACATATTATTTGATTTCGTCTATTATAATTTACCCGTTGCTAAAACCCAGTGCAATATATTATTATTAAATATAACTTAGCAATAGTTAAAACCCGTAATAACAAAACGTCTATCCAAAATTACTATGTTAGAAACAAGTACTTGAAAAGAGTACTCGAAAAGATATCATATGCCCTCTGGTTTCGTCCATACAGCATGACTCACATTGTTGTCATAATATTGAAAATAAATGGCTGGCTGTTAAACCACAGATATTCTTAGCATAAGAGAAGTTCACGTAGAGGGCATGTAGACAAACGAGTTTAATTATGATAAACAAGCAATCTTAAGACACAAATAAACACAAGTGCCAGCGCACAGTAATTTTATCCATTTACACTTTCAGGTAAGGGGGAGCCGATAATCACAGAGCAAATCCAGTAATTAAGTTCAAATGAGTTTTATGCACAAGGATGACAGGTTGCAGCAAGTAGCACAGATGAGTTGAGGGCTTCACAGTCTCACGATAAATTGCTTGCCAGTACCCCATCTGCAAAAGCACAAAAATAGTTCGGAATCATCAGTTTAGACGAAAAACACTATCGATAAACTCAAATAAGTCTGTCCGAAATCCTTCTGGGACCTTAATGACCTAATTGATTAGGTAACTAAAACGAACTCAGTTGGATAAGCTATATTCAGAGACATCCAAATGACCTGAAAATAGAAAAATTATATAACACAATCGGAAATATCACTAAACAAACAAACACCAAAATTCTCTATAAACAGTCTTAATATATTTTACCTTCAGACTCAGCAGCTAGAGCTACCAATATCGAAGTCCATCGTGTAATCATATTCTATGGTCGGGATCACAGAAGCCACAAATTTCAAGAACAAGAAGAGGTACCTGAAAGGAGTGCACGACAAATTGCCTTAGGATTCAGGATAAAAAAACTAAAAGAGTAGTTGTCCATTCCATTATTCGGATCTGGTTGAAATAGAAAGCATGAAGCATTGGTGCTAAAAGTGATCTTTCAAAATGAAGAGTGACCCATCTGTGCACATATTAGCAAGTGACACGACTGAATAAGATACGCTCCCGTAAAAAAGGTTGGACTTTTTTTATATGAACTACCGAAATAACTGGCGTGGCGTTGAACTAGGAAGGTATGAGGAAAATATATTATATACTTGTCAACTTCAGGCTCAACTCCTCTTGACATTAAAACATCAATAATTTTCTTCATTACAGCCCCATGGCGGCACGGATGTACAGAAGCATGTTTCCCTGGCAAGTGTGGATGGTCTTCAATAGTAACCTGATTTCCATGGGAAAACACCGCAGATTAGTTCGATAAAGTAAACTAATATAGGAGAAAGTTTAGAAACTAATACAACCTTCAAACCACACTCTTAACTCCATGATGTTCTCAGATTTTGAACACACACTGGATACACCACGTGATTCTAGTAAAAAGCTTAAATAAATAACTTCCAAGTATTAGCACAAACGCCTGAAGATGATGGAACTGAACTTTACCGTCTTGCGTGCGTGGTCTTGACTGACATCTTCAAGAACATGTTCTGGTTTCAAAAGCATCCTCGACTGTCACGGTAACAAGGATACTTTGTTAATAGGCAAAAACTGGGACATAGATTAAATGAGCAGCTTGCATTGTTTGAAAAGGTGATCAGTTGAATGAACATATAATTGCAACCATATTTCGAAATGCAAAAGAAATGTCAATCAGAAAGTTTAATGCTGACCTCATCATATCCAGTGAGCCAGACCCGAGGAGTTTGGTAATATTTGTCATACCTATGGCAAAGACTGTCAGACAAGGCACAGAAAATCAACTAAATAACTAATTAAGCTCACATCCAAGATTGAAGAAATGTCTTACGTGATGCTAACATCATATGTTCTGGTTCTTAGAATGTTGTCATCATCAGGCTCATGGGCGACAAGATATGTAGTCTGAAGTGTTGCCTGCATAATTCATAAATTACAACGACATTAGTAGTCAAATCGATGCTAAACAAGAATAAGATGAGAGAGGTTGAAGTGAGGACCATATTACTTTAATAGTAAATACTTTATCTGTAACATACAGGATCATTCTCAACAAGGTTGTCTGCTTCATCAAATTCTGCCATATCCGGGATATCCTCTTCCGCCTCCCCTCCAAAATAAGATGGGATCGATTGAATTGTATTCTTCTTGCTGATTTCTAGTGTCTCCATTGAGGGCAACTCATCTTCTTCATCATGCTTATTATCTTCAGATGAGAGAGTCATGAAGTCAAGGAATCATGAGTAGAGCAATTAACAATCTAAGCATTTTGACTCCATGAAATAGAAGAGCCACTATTACCTTTAGGTTTTCCATGAGTTGCCAGCCAACCATCATTGTCCTCATTATCAAGCAAAACTTCACCACCTGCGGCCTCATATTCCTCCTCGATCGAGGCAGCTCTACGAAGGCATGGGACTGTGCATGAAAAATATGATAACGAATAAATTAAAATATACCACAAAAAAATGATGAGGCTATTTATGAGTGAAAATACACTGAATGTGTAGGGAAACAGATTTTAGAAAAAGATGAAAGTGATAATAAAACACAAAAGAGAAGTTTTAGATGCTTTCAGAAGTTCAGCACTTATCTTACTCAACACAATTTGTGAACATTTTGAAGATAAAATCAGGTTAATAACAATTGAAGTGATCAACATCAGATATACGAACAAAAGACATACAAACATAGTTTGAATATAAACCAGAAGTTATATGGCTACAAAGGAGCCACTGACCATTTCTCGTTATCAAGAATTGTTTATCTTGGGGCAAATATGACTTCCTCTTGCCAGGCTCGCCTGATTCCCTTCATATGGATAGCCAAAACAAGCAACAGTCAGAGACCACAAACTAAAATCATGAGAGCATATTGTTATTCACCCTAAGATCAAAAAGGTTATAGACTATGGTTCCTAACTCAAATTTTTTCTTCCCAGGGGAAATCTTACCATCAACAAATCAGAAAACCACTCATCCAGCATGGGCCAGATCACAGTTGAATAAAATTTCGTGTACTTTGTGAACAGTTATCTTCAGACTATAGAGCGCATTTGAAACAATACCATAAAATACCATGAGTGCGTGATCGCAGAGTACTCAAACGTATACAAAGTATATTGAAGTAATAAGTTATCTTCACACAGCTGGAGGTTCGATTTCTAGGGCGTCAAAGATAGGATCAGGATTTTATTTCACCCCTCTAATGTCAGGGCACTTGTCATATATCCATAGAGATTGAATTCCTTGATAAAAAACAAGCTGTAGCAGCAATTCAAACAACACTTTGTAAATACCAATTTCATATTCCCCAAATCACAAATTCCCCAAGGTCATCTTCACAGCCGCAAAGCGGTATACTAATTAGCTCGCAATTCCCAATTCTACACAGCAAACAGTAATTGAAAAACAAAAAAAAAAAACGAGCAAAGGTAATCGATTGAAGGGAGCAAGAATGGAGACTCACCAGGACCAGGTGGGACACTTGGAGACGAGATTATCGCCGGCGAGAATAAACTCATTGACGCTAAGAACGCCTTTCTCTTTGAAGGCGGAGACGGTGCGAGGGCTCGTGATTCGTTCAACCGTTCCCTTGAACGCGTCGTGTATTTTCTGCGTAAGCACCATCTCTTAAATTCAAATTCGCCGGAACCCTAATTGGAATGGAGAGGGAATCTCGGGAATCGACGATGGTTGGATCGGAGGCCAGAGGGATGGATTTAATCAAATTGTCGCGCGTATGAGGGTTTTGACTGCAGAAATCAGGAATCAGGATTTCGCAGTAAGTTATGTTTGGGCCTTCAATTTTAGTTAGCAGATTAAAAAAGGTGAGAAATGACATAAGTACGTAAAATTGTACGTAGGCACGTACATAAGACTCATATCGTGTGGAACCCATAAAAAATTAAAAGAAAAATAATATAGGTACAAATGTACAAAATATTGTACATAAGGAGGATGTACATAACACTCAAGGTGAGAGTGACCGACCAAAAATAAAAAAAATCAAGTGGACCTCATTCAATGTGAGTATTAAGTATACTTATATGTTTATTTATTATGTACTTGTAGTATTTTTCAAATTAAAAATCAAGTGGACCCCACCCTATGTGAGTGTTATGTACACCTCTATGTACATTTATTATGTACTTGTAGCATTTTTCAAAAAAGTTATATATTTGTTTATTTGTCTGAGTATTAATCAGGTTTCCACATTGAATTTTAATAAGATTTACCTAAATAAGATTCCACATTGTCTGAGTATTTACCTTTTTTTTTTAACCTTATAAAAATATTTTAGGGGTGACTGGTTATAAATTATCTGATCACGTTTGATTTTTGATTGTATAATTTATTCAAATTAAAATTTTACTCAATTTAACCTCGTCAACATTATTAATATAACTAAATAATAACAATCAATCATCCTCACACATCACATAATTTTAGTTCACTATTCGTTCACTTCTCTCATTTTTTGGCATCACATCAATTTTGATCTTTATATTTAGATATTATTTTAAAACAACTCAGTGGCATTTAGGTAAATCCTTGAACTTTTAAATATGGAGGCGATAACAATTATGTAATTTTATGAAAATATATTTGTATTTTAATGTGCATTTCTACACACAGTAATATGCATTTCATATAACAATATTGTGCTTCATTAAACTTTTGGGAAATTGCAAATTTATGAAGTAAAGTGCAATATATTAAAACTTTTACAATTACAAATAAGACCTAAGATTTATCTAATTTTTGGAAAGAAAAAAAATCCCAAATCTCTTCCCGTCTCTATCGTCCCTCCCCTTCAACAATATGGCGTCGTTCTCCTAGGAGGTCGCGACCGCCGCCGCACTGGGAGGAGATGAAGGCGGCACCACCAGACGCGACGGCACCCCTGCTAAATCTCTATTTTTGCCGCCGATGTTGAGTACAAATGTTTCGTCGGTGGGCTTACATGATACCACCTATCAATCCCTCGAGCAGGCTTCTCATAGTACGGAGTTATTGAATCATCGTTTGTTTTTTGTTTGATTATTTCGTTCGTTTGTGCTTGATTGTTTGGATATGATCAGGGGTGGAGCTAGAATTTCAAACTTACCCGGGCTACAAGTATGCCAAACTGTGTATAAGTTACGATATATAACATATCTTTTTGCGTAGGTTTTCTGTTACGCTGCCTAATGGTAAGACAACCATATTTTTTCAACACATGTACATATATTCACAATTAATATTAACATACTTTAAATTATAATATAAATAAAAATATAATATTGTGTATAGTATAAATACGATTTTTTTTTATAATGTATGACTGACTAATGTTAGCCAGCCAAACAACATATCTATTTAAGTATATGTTCAAAATGTTTTTCATGAAAAATATATTCATATCAAAATAATTTAGGAAAACTAAAACTATCAAAGTTTAGATAAACAAAGCTATTAAAACCACATTTTTTTTTATTATGAAGTTAAAAACCAAAAGCCCAAATTGTCATAAACCATTCAGATACTAAAATTAAGAAACAAAAGCAAAAATTCACATCAATATTAATTTGAAGTGATTATTACATGTTGGGTTAGATTTATAGAATACACTTTGGAGTTTTTATTAATTATTTCAACCTGGGCTAAAATAAAAGAGAGACAAAAAGTTTTATACAAATAATGTATGGGTATGTATAAGAATACTTCTAGCCCACCCGGGCTGTAGCCGGACAAAACTATATGTCCCTCTTCCCCTGGATATGGTGTTGGATCAAATGAATATTTTTTGGTGGATTTTGGGAAAAAAATATAAATGCACAATGATCGGGAAACGGGGAGGTCGAAGGAATTTGGGTTTGTCACGTTAAACAATGAGCAGGCGATGAGGACTCAATCGACACCATTGAATGGCCAGGAACGAGGCACAACCCTGTGCTGGCGGCACATCGTGATGGCTGCGGCGGTGGGTATGGTGGCCGCAATTATGGCCGACGTGAGGGTGAGTATGGCGGTGGGTACGAATGAGTTGCGATGGGATAGGAAATTTTGTTCTGTGTGTGTGCATTGTGTGTGGGTGTGTGTGTGAGAGAGAGAGAGAGGGGGAAAGGGGAGAACCGAGAACGAGGAGGGGTAGGGGTGGGGCCCACACTAACGTGGGAGAAAAAATACCAAAATACCCTTACGGGATGTGAAAATGTTGGTTTTATTAGCCGTTAGATTATCCAATCTGATTGCTATGATGTATTTTTATTTTTTTTCACTGAAGACCATTTTCACCGAAGCGCTATAGATATAACCAACTTAGAGCATCTCCAATGGTCCATTGATTGCTCTTTTTTATTGCCATGTGGCATAATTAATCTTATGTGGCATTCAAAATGTCTAGAAGTCTTCCTGTGTCTAGAAGTACTTTTAGACATCATCTATTATATTTTTTATTATTTATTAAATATATATATATATATATATATCATTCCCAACCAATTATAATGTTACACATGTCACATTATAGTAAAATTAACATTCATCATTGGAGACAAAATTTTGTAGTTCTCTTTCTCCATGTTATACATCTCCAAATGGACTATATACCATTGGAGATGCTCTTAGTATTAAAACTAACTAAAATTCAACCAAGACACGTGAACATGGTCATAAATCTAAAAATCTTGACATTATAAAAGTACTCTCTTAATATAATAATAATAAATCTCCAAAAAATGTGAAAACAACTCAAAAACCTTGAAAATGCGTGTTTAGCACAAAACATTTCTAGCTCAAAAGATAATGGAAGTGACAATTGAACTTCACTTGATAATACCTTCCAAAAGGAAAAAGATATAGTGGAAGACGACAAGAAAATAAAGGATAAACGCGGGGATAACGGAAGGATTTTCAGACCATATTACGAAAGCTACAATTATCAAATTATAAACTTGTGAAATTAATTTCTGTAAGAAAACACAGCCAATGATAAAGGGAACCAAAGGAATCATTATATTTCAAAGGGCTATTACATATTTTTGGACTGTTTAAGCATATAAAATCATCAACTTATTCCATTTGATCTAACATAGTAATTAATGGATTTTACATCATTTTGAAGGGTCTACCGTACCCTATATATTGGCCCGCGTCCTGGAGAGTTTTAAGTTTTAACCGTTCGATCATACACACCTTTGCAAATGTTTCTTGATCGGATGGTTAAAACTCATGTGTGGCAATATCCATGTGTAGGATGAAATTCACCTTTGGCACATCTTTTACAACCATTTTGATTAAATATAATATGACGTCAGATGTGAACCTTTGTGAAGAAACAATCTTTGTGTGCATCATCATATAACCTCATCCTTTCATGGTGGTGGACAGCCTAACTGATAACTACCACTCGCATTACAAGATACCTCTGTTTTTTTTTTGTCTTCACCTTAAATTCCAAGAACAATTCAAATTGGGTCTTNTTTAAAAAAAAAAAAAACCGAGAGAGATAAAACGTGTTAGTTTAGTTAGATGGATAGTTTTCTTACCTTCTTTTGGCAAAGTTCACTCAAGCGGTTCACCTGGCTGACAAAATCCGCTCAGGTTTTTGTTTAAGTAATAGTAGCTAAGTAATATGCTGACTCTTAATTACTAATTAAGAGCCCAACATGATAATTTTTTTTAATCGTCTATGTTCCTAAACCCTTCAGTGACTTAGGGAGGTTAATAACGGGATGTGCCTGAATGAGTCCCATGTTTTAGCACTGGTTATATATATACTCCTGACTCCAAGAAAATTCTCCTCTTTGAAATGTAGCTGTCAGGAATCGAACTTCCTACGTTGAAGTTCTATTGTTCAGCACCACTCGGCCCAACACGATAATTATATTGGAAAAAAATTCTACATCAGATCTACAGTTGGTGTGTGAATTTTAGCGAGGTGATTAGCATAAGATTATAGTATATTTTAGAGAATAATATGTTAGATTGATACAAGAAAAAATTCAACGTCATATTTTTTAATTCCAGATAATAAAGTTTGGTCGGACACGTAAACACCGATGATCGGTTTACTAGTTTACAAGAAAAAATTCAACGTCATATTTTTTAATTCCAGAAAAACTTATGTATATATTTACTAGTTTTTCATTTTTAAAGTGATGTGACGTGTAAAATAATAAGATAGTACACGTGTCATTATGTCGTTCTTTTGGATTAATGATGTGACGTATAAAGTAATAAAATAGTACACGTGTCATTATGTCGTCCTTTTGGATTAATGTAACAATATGATTCTTTAGATAGTTAACGTGTCATTATTGTGGTCGCATGATCATGTTTGTTAATCTAAAATCCTTAACTCGTTTATCTGGGCTTAAAAATTAGTATTATGACTATATTGTTTTTTAGTCTTGTATAAAGAAGAAAAGTCATATGGCTAATCTTCACTAAGTGCATACATAGATCAGGTGTGGAATTTATGAGGCTCTATTTATGCCAGTCCAAATCACGTACATCTCATGGACCCATATATCGTGGGTGGCCATGCCTAAAAGCAAGCTCGGGGGCCATTTGGCTGCACTCTATAAATTACAGTACAGATAATTGTTCGTCTAAATTACCTGCAAACAAGCAAAGGAAACTAACTGAATTCATACTCCTCTAATTAATATTTTATCTGGTAACTCTACAGCTCGGTTTTGATTAGTTAACGGACGGCCATGGCTGGTGGGGTTATGATCAAGAGTGACGGCAAGCAATACGCCGGAAAAATCACTTGGTTCGTGTTGCTTTCTTGCATGGTTGCAGCTTCTGGTGGTATCATTTTCGGCTATGATGTTGGAGTTTCAGGTTCTTGGAAAGTGATAACTTTGTTAACGTTAAACAAAAACAAGTACAATATTTAACCTATTTAATTTTTACTTTTTTTTTTGGTTATTATTACATGATCAAGGTGGGGTATCCTCAATGGACCCTTTCTTGAAGAAATTCTTCTTAGGTGTTTACAAGAAGATGAAAAGAGACACAAAGATAAGCAACTACTGCAAATTCGACAGCCAGCTTCTAACATCTTTCACATCCTCGCTCTACATAGCCGGCCTTATCTCGTCTTTTTTTGCAGCCATCGTGACTCGGGATTATGGCCGGAGGCCATCGATCATCATAGGCGGGCTCTCCTACATGTCGGGAGCAGCTCTCGGTGGCGTGTCGGCTAACATTTACATGTTGTTACTCGGTCGTGTGTTGCTTGGGATCGGCCTCGGTTTTACCAATCAGGTAAAATTCGCACTTAGGAAAGGTTTTCGTTCGGTATATGCCTTCATTGCTATGCCTTGCTCTATTTTTTTTTGGTGTGATATAGATTAGATGCTATTACCTTGGGTATGGTACTATGTGGTCCTTAGTGTAGTTGTGACATTTTTCTACCTAATTTTATCACGTCGAATGCCGAAAACCAGAACATTCACTAAGACTGTATTTGGTAAGTACAATCTTCTTATAACTTATATGATTAGTAAGCTTGATTTGGTACGATGAACTTTTTCGAGTTTATCTCATAAGTTTCCTTAGAGAGCTTATCAAATAAGTCTATTGAAATTTTTATTTCAGCTAGTTTATCAGTTAATTTTACCAAACACTTTTATCTTATAAGTCATAAGTCTCGAAATTATCTTAAAAGCTATAAGCTGTCTTATCATCTAGTTTTACCAAACATAGTCTAATGTTGTTTTTCCGTAGTCGGTCCCATTGTATTTGTCGGAAATGGCTCCGTCTCGATACAGGGGAGCCTTCAACGTGGCGTTCCAAATCTGCGTGAGCATCGGCTACAACTCCGCCACGCTAATCAACTACGGTACAGTCCGAATCGTCGGCGGCTGGGGCTGGCGGATTTCCATCGCCATGGCCGGAGTTCCGGCCGCCATCCTCGCCTTCGGCACCATCTTCCTCCCAGAAACCCCTAACAGCCTTGTGCAAAATGACCTAAACCATGACAAGGCCCGAAAAGTCCTCACCAGAATCCGAGGCACAAATGACGTGCAGGACGAGCTCAACGACCTGATTGAAGCCAGCCGAGGCTCGAAAGCAATCGAGCACCCATTCCGAAACTTGATGCAGAGCAAGTACCGGCCGCAGCTGATTATGTCGGTCCTCATCCCGTTTTTCCAGCAGATAACCGGAATCAACATCATTGCCTTTTATGCTCCGATTTTGTTCATAACGATCGGGTCAGGGGAGAACGCGTCGCTGCTGGCGGCAACCGTGACAGGTGTCGTGTCATCGACATTCACCATCATAACCGTGATTTTGGTGGATAAGGTCGGTCGGAGGCCACTGTTTCACTTTGGAGGTATTCAAATGCTGATTTCGCAGCTTTTGGTCGGGGGAATAATGGCGGCAAAGCTTGGGGATCACGGGGGGATGGAAAAGGGGTACGCGATGGCAGTGTTGATATTGATATGCGTGTTTATGTCGGGTTTTGGATTGTCATGGGGCCCGTTGGGGTGGGTGGTGACGAGCGAGATATTCCCGCTGGAGATAAGGTCGGCGGCGCAGAGTATAGTGGTGGCGGTGAACCTGTCGATGACATTTCTGATAGCGCAGGTGTTTCTGGCAATGCTCTGTCACCTGAAATCGGCGATTTTCTTCTTTTTTGCAGCGTGGGTGCTGGTGATGGCGGTGTTTGTGTACTTTCTGCTGCCGGAGACGAAGGGGATACCGATAGAGAGGATGGAGGTGGTGTGGAGGGAGCACTTTTTTTGGCGGAGGTTTGTGGTGGCCGACGGCCGGGGGCTGCAGGAAGGAAAGGTTGTTGGGGAGGCTTGATTTCGTGTGTGTGCATTTTTTTTTGGTCAATTTTACCCCTCTCTCTCTCTTTCTCTCTCTCTTTTCTCTTATGTTCAATAAAAAGATGCACTAAGTTGTTATCTTCCCGTGGGCTTTGGTAAATAATTATGACAAATGACTACAGTTATTCAAGTATGACACATTGAAGTAGGGATGTAAAGGAGACGGATGTGAGTTCTTGCGAATTAAATGGCGAATTAATAATTGGTGTATTGGTGTGTGCGCGTGCACAAAATGCGTGTCATCTTGAATATCTATTATTTCCACCTTAATTTTTTACAACTTGTCTTGAGGGTAGGTTAGCAATTTTTTCGACACCTTATAACAATTATTTTTTATATATATCCGTACCCAACCCTATGTTCGGGTACGAAATACTCCCTCTGTTTCGTTTTAAATGTCGTTGTAGGGTGTCAACTTTTTTGCAAATTAATTGTCGTTGAAAATATTATATTCATTCTTACATCTTTATTCTCTTTAACAAACATTATCTCTTATCATTATCTTTAAAAATCACCCATTAATAAATCAAAAACTAAATTTAATAAGATTAAAAAATAAGATTATTACACAACCCATTAAAATCGTAATTTAGAAGTTTTAAATGAAAACGACATTTAATAAGAAACGGAGGGAGTATATACTCAAACCCCATCCAAAACCTTTGTTATTTGGGTTTATCTGAGTAAACCGAAAATAACTAAAATTATTATTATAAATATAACCAATATACGAAATTAATTTAATTAAAGCTAACACTGATTAAGAATCAAATAAGAATGTAAGCATATTCAAGTAAGTGTAGAACTTTCAAATTGAATAAAAAAAATCTTGATAGAAGGTGCAACAGTAATAAAAATCTCTTATTTTTCGGTATAACTGGTATTTAATAATATAAAAATAGTATTCTCTAGTATTTTGTAAAAATATAATAGTTTAAAGTACGCAGATGTCTCTTCTTCTCCAACTAATTCCAACAATCCGATCCATTTAAACAAATCTCATAACTATGGCTGGTTCACCTTTTAATTCTAAAATATCTTTTTCCCCTTAAATTTGTAATCTCTTTCTTCAGTAAATATACTCTCTCTCATATATTACCGCTCCCGATTTTTTCCATTCCCTCTCTCCTCATTTCCTTTCTTAAACTCAATCTCTCTCTTCCATAAATTTTGTCCTGCGAAATAAACTACAAATAAAATATTTGTCAATATAAAAAAATAATATAAAATATCATAATAGAGAAATAATGTTCTAAAATAAAAAAATACTTATATTCTTCAAATTAACTATCATTAATAAAATAAATAAACCTCAAATAAACTATCAATAAACTTTTGATTTATTAATTTAAATTTACTTACGTTTTCTTTTTATAAACTTTTTGTTTATTTTAAGTTTATCATAAGTTTATTGCAACTCTTAAATATTTATTGAAAACTAATTTAAACTTTTGATTTATCTTAAGTTTATTATATACTTTTTTACACTAAATCATGAAATTATAAATAAATAAAAAAATCAAATGCAAAAATAAACTTAATATAAACTACAAATAAAATAAAAAAAAAATAAACATAATCAAATCATCGATAAAACATCAAATTAACTCTCAAAATCATTCAAAAACACAAATATATCCACCTTGTACTCACCCGAACTCAAGATCCGATCAAAATTTTCAATCATGGGTAATAATTTTAAAGTCACTTTCAAATACCAAAGGAAAATTGAGCATAAATTAAAAACAAACCCCAGCAACTCATAGATCCAAAGATCAATCAATGAAATTTCTACAACAAAAGAAAAAAAAAACAAAATTTGCTAAACCCTAAATTACCAAACCACAAATTTAATCTCAAGGTTGTTAGATAGCATCAAGGCGACGGGCGACACCAACAGAGGGAGGAAGGAGCCGGACATAGATCTCGAATCGAAGGTGATGTTGGCGACGGTTAGGACAGCGCTAAGGATGCAAACCTCCCGCTGGTTGTGCGTGGCGAAGGCGGAGAAGCTCTTGTGACGTCAGATCTGTTGACAACCTTCAACAAGTCGGACCTTATGGTGTGCGTTGTCGACGATGGGTGTGTTTACGTTTCTTCGATTCTGCCAGAAACAAATGGGTTGGGGAGAGGAACAATAGATGTAATTTTAATAGTGATAAAGGTGGAATTAAAATATTAAAAAATTCGTAAATCTAACCTAATGGGGTGTGATGTGCGATTGTTTTTTTTATCTCGTTAAATGGGCAATCCCGAAAGTTCCGCTCGAGCCCTGGGTAATTAATTCAATAAATAAGTTTAGGGTACCTACATATTGGATTACAAATAATAAATAATGGCTGGTATGGTACAATTTTTAAAACATTGATTAATCAAACATCACGTATTTGGTATACTAGTACAGAGCCCGTGCGATGCACGGGGTGCACAATTTTAAGGTTATTTATCCAGGTTTATAATTATATACATGAGAAAAGAAAATGTACGGGATATATATAGTACGTGACCCGTGCAAAGTACGAGATATATTCATTTGGAAAATATTATATTATAAGATGCAATATTCAATAAAAGTTTATAATACACAAGAAAATTATACAATGTTCAATAAAAGTTTTATAATATTCAAGTGGAGTCTTAAAGTCTCTTGTACATTAAGATTCCTTGTAGCCAAATTGTGAATGTGATTTGAGGAGTACAACAAATTGATATATAGCTAACTTGCTTTTTTCATTGTAGTTTTTTTTTTCTTTTTCT